CGATTGATGTGCGCCTTGGCTGCTACGTTGTCTGTTAGGACTAGAACGTGGTGGCCTCTGATTCTGTCTTTGAATTGTTGCAAGGCTAGGTGGATAGCCCTGAGTTCTAGCCAGTTGATGTTGTTTCTCAGATCCGTGGCGGACCAACGTCCCTGTACAAACTGGGAGTCCAGATGGGCTCCCCAACCATACAGACTGGCGTCTGTAGTGATGGTAACTCTGACTGGTTCCTTGAAGGGTGACCCCTTGGTCACGGCCCGAGAGCACCACCAGCGTAGCGCCCTGCGGATTTGTGCCGTGACCCTGACTAGGTGGTTGGATGCGCTGGTGTTCTGCCGTTGGTACGGGAGCAGAAACCACTGTAGTTCCCGTAGGTGGAGCCTGGCCCAGGGTACAATGGCTATGGCCGATACCATCTTGCCCAATAATTGGGAAAGTGTTAGTATCGGAACTGAACGTTGCCTGTGAACCCAGCGAGCCAGTTCCCTGATGCCGGCCACCCGGTCTTGGGAGAGATAGACCATACAGTTGGTTGTGTCTATCATGGCCCCCAGATGCAGCAGCCTGGACGAGGGAACTGTCTGGCTCTTCTGAAAGTTTACTGAGAATCCGTGTAATTGGAGGACGCGAATGACGGTCCTTACGTCCGCCTGAGCTGTCTGTAGGGATGTTGCTTGGATTAGTATGTCGTCTAGGTAACATTGGACGCGTATTGGGATTTTTCTCAGTTTGGCGGCTACCGCTGCTAGTATCTTGGTAAATACCCTGGGTGCCGAAGATAGACCGAAGGGGAGAGCTCTGTATTGGAAGTGTTTTCCCCCGTAACAGAAACGTAGGAACCGGCGGTGGTTTGGGTGGATGGGGATGTGAAGGTAGGCTTCCGTGAGGTCTATCGATGCCAGGAAGTCTCCTTCTCTGATGCTTCCCAGGATGGACTGAAGGGATTGCATCTTGAATTTTTTGTATGTGATGTAGCGGTTGAGGTTTTTTAGGTCCAGGATTGCCCTCCATCCTCCTGAAGTCTTTGGAACCACAAAGAGGATGGAGTAAAATCCTCTGCCTCTGTATTCCGCTGGGACCGGTTCTATTGCTTGAATGTCCAACAGGTGTTGGATGGCCTCCTGCATGAGTTTGCGTTTGGTGGGGTTCCTGGAGACCGAGCAGTTGATGAGTCGGTCTGGGGGTGTGACCAGGAACTCCAGGGACAGCCCGGACTGGATGGTTTGTAGTACCCAGTTGTCCGTGGAGGTCTGCTCCCACTGGTGGAAGAAGTGAGCTAGTCTTCCTCCAATGGGTAGGTCTATGTAGGAGTCATTTTGTCTTCCGGTACGGACGACCCGTTCCACGAAAGGGTCGTCTCGACTGGTTTTGTTGTCTGGGCTGGAACCCCGGTCTGTCGTAGGGGCGGCCGTACGGTTTGTTCTGCCTGGGAGTGAATGGCTTGGGTGCCTGACTGATAGGCGTGGTTGTCGGTTGACGAAAGGACTGCCTACGAAAGTAAGGTGTGGTACGTTTGTCTGACCTTTTGTTCAAGTGTGCCATGACCTTCCGCTTGTCTTTGTTCTCTACAAGATAGGGGTCCAAGGCCTCCCCAAACAGACCGTTGCTTGAGTAAGGGGCGGTCGCTAGCCGCCACTTAGCCTTGGTGTCAGCTTGCCAGTGTTTTAGCCATAGCATTCTCCTGGCAATTATGTTGGATGCTATGGATCTGGATGAAAAAATGGCCGATTGGAACGTTGCGTCTGCAGCGTATTCCGTGGCTGCTACCATCTTAGCCAGGTCCTGGTGTGTTCGTATGTCCTCCATAGGAACTATGGTTTGTAGTTGTTGCAACCAGATGAGGGTGGCCCGGACAAAAAAGGAGGCCGAGGTGGCTGCTTTGATGGCCCATGCCGCTGTCTGGTGGGTTTTGCGAAAGGCTTGTTCCCACTTTTTGTCATCTGCCTTAAGGGCCTCCACTAGGTCCCCAGCCATGGCTGTCTGGGAGACCAAGGGGGTCCAGGCTTCATCTACTTTAGGAATTTCTAAGGCCTCATTGAGGTCTGTGGCAGTGCTGTATAATTTTTTGTCCGTACCACTCACTGATGGGAAGGAAGCGGGAGAGTCCCATGGCTTCTTGATCCCTTTCAGGAAAATGGCGGGGCAAGGTATATGGTGTTGCGTTGTCACCTTTTCTAAGAATACGGGTCTGGATGTGGTGGCCGGTGTCGCTTGCGGCTGAGAAAACTGATCCGTCCCCATGTCCGCAATGGCTGTGGCCTTGCGTAGTATCGTGAGGAAGCGGTTGGGATTAAATAATCCCCCTGAGGGGGGCTCAGGGGGAAGTTCCTCATCCTCTGACATAGAGATCCCAGGTTGATCCTCCTCTTGTGGTGAAGAATAACCACTCATGGAGGACTGGGCCGGGGAGACGGGTTCCTGAATGCCTGAGGACTCTGAGGGGAGTTCCGAGTGTGGCATGGCTGAGATGGAGGGCCCCTGGTCGTGGTGGGCGGAGCGCTGTGCTAGGGCTCGGTCCACCACTTTGGTTAATAGGGCCTCTAGCCGTCCATCTGCCCAGATGTCCCCTATGTCATTACCTTTGGGTGTGGTGACCGCAGGTGGAGAGTTGGACTCAGTGGTTGTGCCTGCCGCCGTGGTTGTTTGTTGGGCTGATGTAGATGGCGGGTCCAGTGGTTGCGGTGTTCCTGGAATGGACCACGCGCTCTGGGTTGATGTGGATGGACCCAATGGTAATTCCATCTCGGTGGCCGCCATTTGAACCAATTCCAATTGGGCCTGCCTCTGCGCTCTGGAGAACTCCTTCTCCAGGGCCTGGTGCCTACGGCTGGCTTGCTTTTCCGCCAACTTGGAGGGCCTCTTGAGCGAGTGTTTTGTCTTCGCTTTGCACTTGCCTGCCGCCTTCTGGTCAGAAGGTGTGTTGCAGCCGTAATTGGGAGGTGGAGGGGTCGTGCTCATGGATTGAGGCAACGAGGGTCCCTCCATTCCGCTTGAGCAGTCCCAGAAAAACTGAGAAGACGCTCAGGCAGGCAAGTATTGGCGGGAGCGAAATTGGAACAAGTACCAGGACTGTTCCCCTGATCACCCGACCACAACAAAAATATTCTCTCTGGGCTAAGGTCACGGTAGCTGAGGGAGGTACCGAAGGCACGTTTGGAACCACTCTTTGGGTTCCGCCCGGAGGCCTTAGGTGACCAGGCAACGTGCACCAGTAGAAAAAGGAAAAGGGAGGCAAAAAAATATCAGTGGTGACCTCAAAAGGGTCTGTAGGCCTGACTTAATACACAGCAGGTATCAAATGGCGGTCACCTAGAGCGGAATTTATTCTTATTAATACTATTACTATTATACTAATAATAGGAACAACAATAATAGTAAAATAATAATAATAATAACAACAACAACAATAATGGTGATGATGATAATATTGTGTGTTCTGTCTTTAGGCCTGTTGGCCCTGCAGTCGCTTAATTTTTAGCTTTAAAAAAAAATTTTTTTTTAATTATTATTATTATTATTATTATTTTTAAATTTATGTATCTATTTTTATTATTATTATATTTTGTCCTATTATTATATGTGTGTATCGGGGGTGGAGCGCTGGTTGTGTGCTCCTATTCCGCCTCTATCAGTGATTCCAGATATGATGTAGAGCTTCCTTAAGCTTGGTTTGCCTTTCTCTGGCAAGAGATGGCAGCCACAGCTCGTTTCTCCCTGAAAAAGGGCTTTGCAGATCCCAGGAGGGTTCTCTAGCCTCCGTTTCTTGGTTGGCTTACTCCCTTCCTGTGCTTCGTTTCCCTCTGAAGATAAGCTCCGCAGCCTCCCAGAAGCTGCTTGTGCCCGGGGATTTAAATTTGGCGCGCTGTGACGTTTTAAGGTAATCCCAGCCAGGGATTGCCTTTGTTGTCTGAAAACGGCAACTAAAATGGCACCCGCGGTTGCCCTGGGCTGCTAGGGAATCTCCGATGATCCGAATTCAAGTTTGAATCCGGACCTGGAGATTGTTATTTTTTCCCCCCAATTTGAGGAAAAAATCCCTTGGAAGGTTGGGGAGAAAAGCTCAGCAAGTGGTCTCTGCTGATGCCTTTTTCCCCCCCTTTTCCACCTCCAGAGCCCTGGGGCTGACTGGGATCCGTGGGGAGTTTTCCCCCCCCACACCCCCTTTTTCAATTTTAATATAGGATCAGGGATGATCCCAAGGAAAACTTAGTGGTTGGGGAAAAGGTTCAGCAAGTAGTCTCTGCTGATGCCTTCTTCCCCCCCTTTTCACCCCCCAGAGCCCTGGGGCTGGCTGATATCTGTGGGGAAATTTCCCTCCCCACCAATCCCCTTTTTAATTTTAGGTTTGAGATCAGGACTGATCCCCAGAAAATTTTGTGGTTAAATTCCTATAGGTGGAAAATATTTTTTTTTTTTTTGGGAAGGGGAAGCCAATTATCAAGGGATAATCAATCAATGGATTTCTTGTCTAACCTGATAAGCTGAGAGCCACGCCAAAACGAGTCTTCTCCGAGCAGAGACCAAGTTAAGAATGGACTCCACAGGAAGTGGGGGCGTGTCAAGCTTTGGCTACTTGGTCTCAAGAGCAGGCAGACAGAGAAAACCCATCCATGGATTATCCATCTCCTGTACTGGAGAAAGCCAGGTTCACTTATCAACCGTGTCACCAACTTAACAACTACAGTTGTTTCACTTAGCAACCATAGCAAGAAGGGTTGTAAAGTGGAGTAAAATTAACAACTGTCTTCCTTAGCAACAGAAATTTTGTGCTCAATTGTGGTTAAAAGTTGATGACTACCTTACCTTTTCTATTGTACCAGCTTGAGCGACTCTGCAAAACCCCGAATACTGTTTTCCTCAGTACGTTTGGGAGGCTAAAATCCATCTACCCAGTAATACTATTTGCAATTCTCAGGACTGTTTGTTCAAGTAATTCTACTGTCTATCTTGAAACAGTGTGAAGGCTTGGAAATTCTCTTTTCAAGAAGGGTTTCACTTACCATCCCAAAGAAGCCAGGTCTGTCCTCGGGGACATGAAGTTCAGGATAAATATTCTCTAAGTACCATTTAAAATCCTTGCACCTGAGCTTCTCTCGAAGCAGCTTTCTTTCTGTCACATCTCCATAGGGTTCCTAAAATGAAATCCCAGAGTAAAACCTCCATAGAAAACAAGTTATATACAGTATTCCAAATAAAATCCTAATACAGTGAAATTTGCTTTGAGTATCTCACACTTAGGCAACTTATAAATTATTAAGATGAAGATAGCCCACTAGCTCTATGTTAAATAAATTACCCAAGTCAGCAGTTATTTGAATAAATACATCAGCATTAAGTTTTGGCCCCCAGGATTTCAGTTACTAGAATTATAATATTCCTATCCAATTATTTATGTTACTGTGCATGCTTTTCATTAAAAAAAGCCTATCATTTTTCAGGCTTCCAAGTGAGCATTAAAAATAATGATGCTGAAAGCATTTGATTCATGATGCAACTCATAAGGCAGGCATAATTTTTTTCCAATGTGCAAAAATCTGAAAAACAACAGGCTACTTTACTTTAATGAAAAGTATTAAAGTAGGGCATCCTATATTAGTAGGGCATCCTAGTGTGAGGTCTGCAGAACGCCCGAAACATTTTCTATACATAAACAGCCTTGTTATTCACAAGGAATATTCTAGTTCAAATGGGCAACATTTTAACATATGTATTCCTCTGGAATATTACAACCTCAGTTGAAAAGACTAATAACTTTTCAATCAATGTCCAGTATATCATGTGGAAGGAAAAATAAATTAAGGCAAATCAAATTAATGCAAAATACTACAAAATATATTTTTATAAATTAAGTTATCTATGCAAATTTTATACTTTTATTTTGCAACATTTATTCTGCCCCATTCATTTGAATTTTGCAAAATCAGCCTTGGAAACTGTACCTACCTCACCAACTTCAAAATGTTTAGAAGCTATATTTTCTTCCAGATATAAACTTATTTTTAAAACTATAAAGGCTAGAAACTGCTGGCCTGAGTTCCTCCAAAATGTAAGCATATGCCTATAATATTTTTCTGCACTCATCCTGCACATTTTCAGCATTTGCACTGTTCTCTTTATTCTCTTTTTATATTTTTAGGCTCATTCCTTTATTTTCTGAGAATCTAAATTTAGACTCTCAGCTTTTCAAGAAATTTATTTTATCTTCTATACTTCTGCCTTCAGTAAACTTACCAAGCGTGCATGTGGATTTCTGTGGTAGTAAAGTTCTTTGTACGAATCCATCCACACCTCTGCAGCCCGAACAGAGTTAGCTAAAGCTTTTGCACGTGAATATGGAGCTTGCTTTGGAAAAACGTGTCCTACATGAGAACAAGGATGGATTTCAAGACTTCCTCCACATTGCCAGATCTAAGAATAAAAGCAGAAAGCAGATCTATATATGTACTACTGTGCATTGTTGTGGAATGCTTCCACCCATGTAGTAGCTGTTGAAGAAAGTTCTGTATCTCTATGGTCTGGACAACTAATCCTGCTCCTACTTCAGTTCATCAACCCAAGCAACACTTTGAGGATATCTTGTACAAAATGCATTTGAATACAGATACAAAAGTATCATGCATTAACATTCTCAACTAATTATTCCTTTATTTGAAAAAAAAAAAAACCTATGCAGTGTCCAGAAATATCATGAACAATGTTGATTGTGTTTCATGCTGGTATTTCTTATATTTGGAATTTTTTTCTTCATGGGTTTTATACATGTCAGCTTTTAAGTGAGATATGTAATACAGGTAATCCTTAGGTTAGGACAGCAATTGGGACCGGGATTGCCATCACTAAGTGATGCAATAATAAAATATGACATCATGTGACCGCATTGTGTATTAATGACAAATCTGGGAATCCTGGTTGCTGTTGGTAAGCGAGGAGCGATAGAAGACCAAGTAAGGAGTCGGAGGGGGGGGTCCTGCCACAGTGAGGTCGGAAGAATGCCATGAGGGGAGCCAGAGGAGGGATTGAGAGTCCTGGCACAGGCTGTGCACAAATGCAGAAGGCCAGAGAATGGATGGTACAGAATGATTTGTGACCTTCCCTGCCAGTTTCCCCATTGGTTTTCCTTGTGGGAAGCTGGCAGGGAAAACTACGAATGGTGATCCCATGTGAGCACAAGCCAGGTGTCAATTGCCTGAATTGAAATTAAATGACTGTGGAGGCTTAGTGATGGCTGGAACTTCAAAGTCTGGTAATAAATAATACTGGTTTAGCACAATTGCAATTCTGAATGGTAGTTGAATGAGTAGCTGATAAGCAAGGACTATCTATGCACGTGTTGCTTTTAACACAATTAAAGCTAGCCTTGAAAGGAAAATACAGGAGACACAAGCAAAATCATTAATAGATACTCCTCACTTTAAGAACCACAACTGGGACCACAACTCTGTCACTAAGTTATGTGGCCGTTAAGTGAAACATCACATGACCCCACTGAGCAACCTGAATTCTGCTGCAGCCATTAAGCAAGAAATCCCATGGCCACGACTGGTGGTTTTACTGTTGGCATCTCCACTGACTTTTCTTGAAGGAAGCTCAAGAAATGGCAATGAAGTTCACAAATGGCAATCAAGTAACCAAAAGGACACTGCGACGATTGTAAATGCATGCCAATTACAAAGCACCTGAATGGAGACCACATGACCATAGGGAAGCTGTGACATTTAGAAGTTAAAGGACTGGTGGTAATGTTGCTTTTTGCGCTATTGTAATTTTGAATAGTCACTAAACACTAACTTTGTGGTCAGAATTGCACATATACATCAATAGATTATCATGAAGGAGATAAGAGAAGTTACCAGGCATTTTAGAGTATTAAATATTTATTTGCTAGTGTCCGCATTGGATGTATTCAATTAGTTATTATCAAAAAGCATCAAATTAAACTTGCAACAGACTGAAGAATTACAATATGTATTAGTTTTTCTTTGAAACAACATGAAATACAATTTCCATAAGAGAAAACACCTAGATAAGCATTTGCCTCAATACCTAAGGACTAAATTTATGCAAGTAGAAACTGAAAGTTTTTAAAGGTTTCCCTGCAAAATATAAGATTTCACAGAGCCTGGAAGGTTGGAAAAGCTTGTTTTTTGCATTTCCCCCCATAATTGTATTAGAAAAGAACCTCAAGTTCAAAACATTTAACTCTGATATTCAGAGATTCTGTTCTGTTCTCTATTCTTAAGTCTGGGAATTAGAAAATATTTTGCCATAAACATAAATTATTTACCTAGGTCAAGCTTGATCAATTTATACACTACCTAAATGAGCTTCACTTATGATGAATTACAAACTCTTGTGCCTGGATGTTACATTATGTAAAAGGAAGTCTGCTATACAGTACTTCTATCCCATTAATTTTAAAGATGGATGATATGCATCTATCATAGAGTTTGGCTGATCAGCAAATAACCAATGATTACCAAAATAAGATGTTATGGGCTGCTTAATTCCAGGTAACAGAGACAGAATAAATACTTGAATCAAACTTGTAAATCCATCATGATAAGGAACGGTTTTATTAATATACTGACTATATCACAGAATATTATTATAAGAACAAAGTGAGACAATATGAAGGGGGGTGGGTTCTGGGAAGATCCTGGCAAGATTCCCCAAATCATTACTTACCCGAAATGAAAATTCAAGGTTTTCCCCTCCCCAGACTTCCATTCCTATGTCGTATGAACCAAGATAGTTAAAATAATTCTTGTTCACAGCAAAGAGTCCACCAGCCATAGTTGGAGACCTAACAGAGGAAAACAACTCCAGAATTAATTGACAAACCATATCTCCTTATCAAGTTAGTATCACATGTGAATCCATGTGTAAATATCATCCTCAGCAGTTATAATATGAAGAATACGTGTATTTAACAAAATTTAATTGTTCTGTAGCTCAGAATGAAATAACAAATACTGTAGTCACGTTTTACTCAGAAAACGGAAGGAAGCAAACTTTGGTCAAAAATCATTGTGGAGTCGCCTTGCAGCAAGATGGTCAGCAAATTAATTAATTAAAGTAAGTAATACAAAGATAGAATTCTTTAGCAAGCTTTGTGCTTTATTTTTTAATTAATATTTGAAATGAATAAAGCAAAAGTGAAGAAACTATGGCCCTCAAAATATTGCTGAATATCTCTCAGCATCCTTAGTCACCAGATGTGCTAATTGGCTTTCATTTTTTAAAAATATTTTCCTTATAAGTGGAAAGATTCAGTCAATACAAACTACACAAAATATAAACAGAATTTTTAAAAAAATTGAGAAAGAAAAAAGAAAAGACAAAAAAAGAAGAAAGTAACTTTCTCCTTTTGCTAACATAAAAACAGTTTTACTAGTTTAGCACCATTTCTAAATACTACATAATCTCTCTTTTTCCCAGAGCTCGTTTACTAACTAAAAAAACCCCTCAGAATCAAAATACTTCATCAATTATTTCTAATTGGCAAAAAAAAAAAAAAATTCTTTATTTAGCCCCGGTCGAAAAGGCCAATCCTGAATTCTTTCCCTAGGTTTTTAAAAACATTAACTCCTTCAAAAAAAAAAAAAGTTCTGGAACTAGCTTGCTGTTCGTCTCTGTTTCAAACAAAAATCTTTCAAAATGTATTCTCGAAGTCCAATCTGCAAAGTTTATCTTTTTGCTTATCACTTCTCATTAAGTCTTTCAAAAGCTTACCAGAACTTTTTGCACATTCAATAGAACGAATTTATACAAATTTGATTCAGTATCTGTATATCTTGTTTAGAAAATGAGTCATCCATCAGTTTCATTTGTTACATTTTAAGTCCTTCAAAATGGTTTCACAAACACCCAATGTAGCTTGTTGCTCTACAATTTCACTGCAATATGCTCTGTCCATTTTGTCAATAAATTCATCCACTTTGTCATGAAGCTTAGTGAAAAAAATGAAAAACTTGTAATAAAAATTTCTGCTCTATTTTCTTTACCCTTATCCTTTGACTCCCTCAAGTATCCAAAGTTCAAGGTATCACCATTTTCCCATGAGAAAATTTCTTAATTAATTTAAGGCTAAAATTCAAAATTCCTTTGACCCCTTAATCCTTGTTAACTTTTCTAAAATCTATATACTAAGAACCTTTTTGCTACATAGTCAAAGAAGTCATATATTTTCAAATCTTTTAAAATCAAATTTATATAATTATCCTCTAAAGAAGAGGAAATTACTGATGAATACAGAAAAACCTTGCCGGTCTGAAAGGTCTTAATATGTTTTATTTCTCTAATATGCAATAACAACAACAACAATAACAATAAAAAGTACATTAAAAAAATAGCTCAGAAAGCAGATATTAACAAGACATGGCAATGGCTAAGAGCAGGAAAATTGAAGAAAGAGACCGAGGGACTAATTCTGGCTGCACAAGACCAAGCCTTAAGGACAAATGCATACAAAGTCAAAATTGAGAAGACAGCAACAGACAGTAAGTGCCGCCTATGCAAAGAAGCTGAAGAAACAGAGGACCACCTGGTAAGCTGCTGCAAGAAGATCGCACAGACTGACTACAAGCAGCGGCATGACAAAGTAGTAACAATGGTGCATTGGAAGATATGCAAGAATTATCACTTGCCTGCAAGCAAGAACTGGTGGGGTCATAAAATAGAGAAAGTCATAGAAAATGATAAAAGTTAAATTGCTCTGGGACTTCAGAATTCAAACAGACAAGCACCTGCCACATAACACCCCAGACTTAACAATTGTCGATAAGAAAGACAAAAAAAGTCTGGATAGTGGACATGGCAGTGCTGGGAGACAGCAAAACAGACAAGAAAGAACTGGAGAAGATAACAAAATATAAAGAGCTACAAATAGAAATAGAACGTGGCAAAGGCAAGCAAGGGTAGTACCAATAGTAATAGGTACCATAGGTGCAATCCCAAAACAATCCCCACTTGAACTCCACTGGCATTGACAAATTTGCCATTAGTCAATTGCAAAAGGCGGCCTTACTAGGAATTGCTTCCATCTTGCGATGATCCGTGTAATACCATCAAACATCCACATCTGCCAGGACTCGATAGGTAGACAAAAATGTCAAATGCAGTCTGAACATCTGGCTGACTATACAATGATTGATGATGATGCAAAAAAGTGCTTAAGAAATGAATTTTGGGTGAATGTCATTATCTGTAAAAGGCTGCTTTGCAAGGGTGAGTTTGCAACTTCCAGAGTCTACTCACAAGGAACAGCTGTCCAGAGTGACATGGATAATCTTTACAATCTCTCATTCTGGAGAGGTTTCATTAGGCCAGATCCAACATTTCGTCATGATTTCCTAGCAAATGCTATGCTGCTAATGAGCAGGGTGTCAACTCACCACGGCTGCCATATTAAGCCTTCACATGCTAACTAGATTTTTGTGGGTGTAGTAGCTCAGTAACAATCAAAAGGCTACAGTTTACTAATCCTGGGGAAAGGATTACAAGATATAAAATTACATCAGCCTGCCCCATTAGATCTGGAAGAGAAGGCATGTTATAGCTACCGTCCACTAGGGCCTACTATTGGTGATTCCCAGGAAAAGTGAATATATTAGAATTCTAATATTCCTTCCAAGCAAATTAGGAGAACGTAAACATGGCATTTTCACGGGCAATTAATAAGCAATAACATGACAGCAATGATTTGGCAGGCTTTGGTAAAAGTGCAACTAGTAATGCGTATCTTAAACTGTAAGTTAAATGAAGCAGACACACATTAAAAAGAGAAAATGTATAGAAAACTAAAGAAGGAAGAATCATACTACATGAATTATATGAATTAATGTATTACTTATTTATATTCCCATTTCTCTGAAAATGTCTTTCTTAAAATTATTTTCTGTGAAAGAACAAAGTTTCCTTGAGAATTTGAAGATTTTTTCTGCTAACTAAAAAGAAATAAGTCATGGTATCTGAGGAGACACCTCACCAAAATAGGATTAATCCACCGCACTCATACTAGCAAAAGAGGCTGCTATGGACCACATCTGCTAAAGAATTTTGATGGCAGGGTCAAGAAGCCTTTTCTACGGTGGCCCTACTCTTTTGGCCTTCTGAGAAGATATTAAAACTTGGTTTTGTCCATTGGCTTGGAGCCACTAGGGGGATGCTCACTACTGGAGACGGCTGATGGAGTAAAACAACCTTATCACTGTGCTGTCCGTTTCCTTGATTCTGGTTTCTTGCATAGTTTCAAAATTTAAATGTCTGTACTTTTAGAATTTTTAATTGTTTTTCTATTTATCTTCTTATGTTCCTTAAGCCACCCAAAGCTGCCCTATTGGAATATGGACAGCATATAAATTTAATAAATAAATAATGCAGCATTGAAATGACAGTTAAAGCCCTCTACCTTTTTCTTCAACATATATTTCTGAAAATGAATTTTCAGCACTCAACTCACTGCAACCAAAACTAAGTATCAAAATAGGCAGAAGTTAACTATTATGCTGACTCTGACTTTAATAAAAGTTATCATTGTTCATGACATATATCATCATGAGTAAGCTCATACATCCTATTAAAAATTATAATTGATGCATAAACTATTCAGCAATTATAATTCTTATTATAAATTATACTCGGTGCATAATTTGTGTAATGTATTATAAACCTCATAATTTATACCACGAGAGATAAAGTACTGTACTGTAAAGCAACAGACTGTATTGTAAATATATATATATATATATATATATATATATATATATATATATATTCATTCAAAAGATAAAAACGAGCACCATATATATATATATGATTCCTGGGTGAATCCATAGTCAATTACCAATAAAACGTCAACACCAGGAATATAATAAACTATAAAAGTTTAATACCATCACCGATCACCAAGCTTTCATCAGATACTTCTGACATCGTCAGGGTTAATGCTGGTCTGTGGGAGAGTGCCTTTATAGGTGAGCCATCATTTGCACACAGCTCCCAGATCTTGTCGTAGGTCCTAATTGATTTAACTGCTTTTTAATTATGGCTTCCATACTGATGACTCCTCTTTTCTTGCTTTTACTGCTTGTGGGTGTGTCATTATTCCCCTCTACCTCCCACTGTCTTGAATTAGGGAGGTTCTTTCCTCCCCTTTTTTGGAGGTGTGAAGAGGGAACAACTTAGAGATACAAAAAATGCCCAAAGGACCTGCTCCCCAACACTGAAAAATCGGCAATCATATATAAAATCAACTGCAAAGATTGCCCCGTTAATTATGTTCGAGAGACTTCAAAAAGAATGAAGACTAGGGTCCATGAGCATAAATTAGCGGTAAAAAGGGGGGAACAGCACTCCCAAGTATGGGCGCACATGGCGGATTCTGGACATTGCTTTGACTTTGATAATGTATGCATCCTGCCCGGTGACAACATCAAAGAGGGCCGGTTACTAAAAGAGGCATCGCTCTCTGACAGGGACTCTGTCAACTGGCACATCGATTTGTGCCCGGCACATCTCACCTTAAGAGCATGGAGCAGGCGAGACCGCCCACCCCTAAGGAGACACCCTGCGACAGTACCACGTAACCATAAGGAAGAAGTTATAAAGGGGATGAATTTTTGCCCCCCACAACAACAGCAATGGCCCATGGACATTCAGGAGAATAATCAACGATTGAGGGACTTCTTCCCCCTTGCTCCAGGACCATGCACACGCTCCCAGACAGCGAGAGAATGGTTGCATGATAAGAAAGAGGCAATTAGCCAACGAACAATCATTCCTGACCCCCCAAAACCCAAAACA